ATAGGAAAAGTGTAGCAAAGAAAAAAAAAATGAAAAAAAAAAGAAATAAAAAAAATTAATGGTAGAAAAACAAAGAAACATAAACATACTTGAGTGAAGTCTACGATCGATGAATTAATTATCGTTAATAATGATTTTTTTTTTTTTTTTTTACCATGCATCAAGTATTTTATACAATAGGTAGAAATATATATGTAGTCATTTGTTTCCATTTTCGTCTTTTTTCTTTTTTTTATTTTTATTTTTCTTGCTGTTTTTATTTGTTTGTCGCGTATTATCGTTGGGACGCGAGAAACGCGCACGGTCGAAATGGTAATTCCGGGTTCAATCGAAAGTAAATAGAAAGGAAAGCAACGTCGCAAAGTTGAAGGTGATCTTGCGGATGTGTTCCTCGCAAAAGTTATCTGACTGAGCTTTTGTATATATATAAATACGTATACATGTTTATGCAATTAAGGGAATCAAAAATGAATGAAAAAAAAAAAAAATGAGACAAAACGAATGAAAAAAAAAGAGAAGAAAGATATCGCGTATTATATCGTAGAGAATACTGGCTATTGTTTAAAGAAGTATACACGAGAAGCACGAGAACTATAGTCGTTGAGCAATCACACGGAACGGGCAGCTATTTTCTAATCTCTTGAAGTTAATAATTTTTCTTTGTTGTACATGGAACCAATATCTTTTAAACATCTTTTGTACATAATACATAATCTTCTCCTCTTTCGTTTAACGAAAGATTTTTCTCTTACACAATTAGCGTCGATCCTTTTCTATCTTTCTTCGTTATCTCTGTTCTTACCGTTCGTTAAAACGAATTATCAATTAGTTTCGAGCGTAAAGCGTATCATATTACTCTTCTCGTTGTATTGCGTTTAGTTTTAAAATTTCTTAGATTAACTTTTCGTAGCTTTCTTCATATCTTCTTTTTCTTTTTTTCTTCTTTTTCTGTTGAATTTATTTTGCACGATATGCAATATTCGAATATTCGAAATTCCGTTGAAAAAGATACAAGTCGAAATTTAAAAAATTTAAAAATTTTATCATTTTATCATTCTTTAAAAAGATAAGAGATGAATAAATGGAAAATACAATAAAATTTTGATATTACGAAGCTTCGAATCGTTGTTCTCTGTTCTTTTTTTTCTTTATTTTTTTAAGCATACGTAAATGTAATAAGAAAAAAAAATTTGTCGATCGGAAAGTAAGAGAAAGTAGCAAAGTACGTGTATCGTTTCTTAT